TTTCACTTTACACACTGTCAGACATTTCATTCTTGTATCTCATGTGCACTCTGTATAGCTTTAAATGGTATAATTGAAATTGACGTCATTCCAGGCACCACGAGGATGAATTAGAGTCCAAACGATCAAATTCGGCTCGTATTGGTCACGTTGTGGCCAACTTGGGTCGTGTATCAATATTATTGCATCAGGCTGTAGCTGTGCTGCACAAACCAAATAAATTCTTAGCGATTCATGGGAAAACTATCTCGAAACGCCACCTTCAATTCGAACTTTCAGTGGTAAATGCTTGGGGTTGAGGCGGAGGGAGGTTCGGTACACAACAATTATGGAATCGTTTGTAGTCAAGATCCTAGATTTACGACAAATGTGGAGAAGTTACTGTAGTTCAAAGTTTTTGACGACGTGGAGACAAACGACGAACACGAAGTCGAATGGGGGGTTTTCAGTGTCAAGTAGACAAGTTCGACAACCCAAGCTCATCTCAACGTTCCCAAGTCTCCATGACGGATTCGTGTGGGGCTTCTTAAGGACACAATTGTAATGTGTAGTATACACGAGTGTGAAGGCAGCAGGCGATATTGCTCTTACTGGTGCCCGCTTATCTCCATTCAGGAGTTGTTTGAGCGGACGTCATGGTGCGACGGACCGGCAGCATGAGCAATGAAGAAGTCACTGTTTATGCAATTCGAAGAGCCGAGTGACCCTTGGGGTATCGACGGTTTCGGCGTTCAATGAGCTCGATTTTGCATGGTGGCCCTGTGATGGAATCTCCTCCACCTAAGCGACCGCAGCTGACGCTAGCGCTCGAGGCTCACCTGGATGACTTTTCCAGACCAGGATTCGTTTGGTCGTACTTGACGTTCTTCGCCGCGGGGGCTACCCTCGTCGCATCGTGGACTTGCTTTGTCTTGTCGATTGATGCGTTTGGGGCTTTGTACCCCGATGGGATGGTCGGATTCGTCTTTCCCGTCATCAACATGTCGTCTTTGCTCGTGATCACGATGTTCATGCTCGTGGCGGGTCGCCAGCTGCCACTTCACATGCGCATGAATGGTGGGTTTGCCAGCCTCCTGCTCTCGGTCTTGACGGTACCAGCCCTTCAACTTGCCCCCAACGTCGTTGTTCAAGTCCGCTATGTTGGGACTCTGGTCATGGTGATCGTGACGTCCTTGGCGAGTGCATTGATTCAGTCGTCGATTTATGGACTGGGAGCTGTGTTTGGTCCTTCATTCCTTCAAGCGGTGGATAGCGGCAAAGGAACTGGCGCGCTCTTGTTGGTCGTCGTTCGCATCCTCACCAAATGGCTCTACGACCACGATGAACCAGGCATGGTCTCGCTGGGCGTCTTTTTTGGCTTTGCCAGTGTCGCGATTGCTGTTGCATGGAAGTTGTACGGCGCCTCCTCCAAGCTCAACCTAATGAAGCTCTTGGTCATAGGTATGCCATGCTCCCCCACAACGAATACGCTAAACCAGTGCTTGACTTGTACGTTCGCATCCAGCATTTGACGCCACTGGCGCTTCCCCTCCCATCCCCAGTCAGGTCTCCGCAAAAGCGGCACGTCTCCCAGGTAGCGTCGACAAAATCGATGGATCTCACACGGCACTGCGACTAGACGTTTTCACCTACAGAAACCACTCCGATTGTGGAGAATCCGTCATCTACCGACGTCGGGTCCATCCTCAACGTCTTGCGTCTTGCTTGGAAGCCCGTGGCCATGTCGTTTGCGACGTTTTGCATCTGCCTCGCCTGCTATCCAGGGCTCACGACGGCCATCCGATCCGCTTCGTTCGGCCCGACGTGGTTTCCCGTCGTTCTCACGGCGGCGTTTACTGTCGGAGACGTTGTTGGGAAGTCGCTACCGCTGACTCTTCGACTCCTCACGCTCGAGACTCTGCACTACCCCCTTGCCCTTCAAGCTACGTTCATTCCCTTGTTTATTCTGGCAGTGTCTTCACATTTGGTGAGCGGCGCGGCAGCCATTACCCTTGTGGCAGTCCTTGGACTCGTCACCGGCTACGTTGGGACCAGTGCGATGATGCTAGCTCCCGCCACTTGCCCCGACGTCGAACACGAAGTTGCTGGTATGACGGGATCGCTGGCCACGATTGCTGGCCTCTTTGCAGGGTCGTACCTTGGCCTGGTGCTGCAATTTATGCAACAATTATTGCGACCGTTGTGAGTCGAGATAACGTATAAATAGACCACGGTGATGGTGACCGATGTCTTCAGCGCCGAGGAGGCGGAGCTCGTCGCGATGCAATTCTCTCTAGCAGCCAACCGAAGGAACGCTCGCGACTTAGACAAGCTCGAGGCCACCCTGCTCTTCAAAGACCACGCCCCCGAGTTTTCACCGCAAGAAGTCAAGGAGCTCTTTGCTGGTATCGAGGCCAAGGGGTCATTCCAACTCAACGTGAACGAGTACCTCGAGGTGCGACCGCCATCCGTCGTCGGTGCCGGCATCACTCTGGTGTAGATAAAAGCACGGAAGAAGATCGAGCTGGAGACCAACGACGAGGAGGATCTGAAGCGCCACTTTACCGTGCTTGACTACCACGGTGACGAGATGGCACTGAATTCGTCCGCCAAGTGACGACCAGATTGAACAGGAAATGGGTCGCTCGTGGCCACAGAAATCACTGAAGCCCTTGAGAAAACGGGAGACCCTGGCGTCAACGTGCTCAAGGAAGCCATTCAAAACGCCACAACGCTGTCGTCGGACGGCACGATCACGTTCGAGTTGTTTCGTCAAGCGATTCACGACATGAATCGGAAAAACCAAGCGGCAATTGCGGCGGGCATGATGCGGATGTACCGGCTCAAGGCCAAACTGCAGGTACGATGCGGCGACGGCACCTCTCCGTGTGGATGCCATCCGAACGTGCAGGAGCAAGCAACGAAGCGAAGGATGTCGCGTGGCACGGCGTCGTCCATCGAAGTCGAGTACCAAGTGCTCGTGGCCCAAACCGAACGCCAGCAAGCCGAACTCATCACGGTCCAAAACGATCTTTTCTCCAGAGTCTACGGGATCATTGTTGCCCAGTACATGTGCCAAACGCGCGTGCTTCATGCGTTCGAGGCGTTCTTCGACCATTTGCACACCGAAGGTAAGCGTGTGCATCGAACGATGGATAGTTGAAATGATCTCGCTGCGTAGACAGCCACTTGTTTCGCCGCAACCTGGAAAAGAATGGCCGTGTTGTCGCCGTCCACCCAAGTTTCTTGCTCATTCCTGGCCCCGTCATAGAGGTCGGTACACCCAAGTAGACCACTCGACGACTCAAATGCCGCCACAGCGTTCGCCCGCATACACAAACCTGTGCAACTTCATGGTCCCAGACATGGTGTACGACTCGGTACGTGGCCGCTCTCCGCTGATGGTCCTTTCACTGGTCATGCCAGGATAACCATGGTCCGATCTTCACCAACCGCGCATATCGCAAAATCTTTTTGTGGTACTGCCTCCAGGGCAGCTTGACCAACTTTCAAACGATCGGGCGAACGAGTTTTCTCCGGTTTGCACGGGACTGCCGCGTCGCCGACTTGAGCGACCGACCCGTCTTGGATGCCGACTTGGACGCATGCTACGTCATGGCGCTCCGGGAGCCGCGCGTGGCGTCCCCCAAGCAACGCGTGGTCGACAGTGAGTCGTTCCATTTTCACTTTAAGCCGACGCCACTGTTGTTTGAACATGCTTCGAAACACTCGGCGTGCGCGCCGGGTGGCGGCATGACGTTCAAGCAGTGGGTGCACGGCACGACGTTGCTGCTGTGTCGGTGTCTGAACATTGAGGTAACACTTGGACGACGGTACACGCCTTTCGATCATTGTGGGCTTGTACAGGAGTGGCCGAGCACTCAAAAAGCTGACGAACTCTTTCGCGAATACATACTTCCTCACGCGAACCAGCTCCAGACACAACCCCTTGGCCCTGAAGTGTCGCAGCCCCAAGTGATGCAGTTCATTCTAAAGCACGTGTGGCCGCTCAAGCAGATCTTTTCTCACTTTGGTGGCCACAGCATGACTTCGGTACCTTGACTCGCACATTGAGTTGGTCGGACCGTCAGGTCATTTATCCATGTGGCGCGTAGATTGAGCTCAACAAAGGGCTGCCTCTTCGCGACTTCATCCACTTTGTCAGGTGTTTTGGTACGATTCGACTGCAGCACAACATTCATCGACACGGACGCCCTTAGACATCTTGCCCTCTGGGATATTGGACCAGCCTCGTCCGCAAGTTACCTTTCGTCAACTCAGTCTTCAGGTACTTCTCAGATTCGCGTGGGCAGTTGCTTGGAATGCATGGCGCAGGAAATCGTTCAAGAGTACAACGCCGCCAAACTCGACGTCGGGTTTTCCAAGACCGAGAGCCGTGAGTCGCTCGATCTCAACTTTCACGAGTTCCTCCGGTGCATCCAGCGTCTTGCGATGGCGATGAATCGGTCAGCGGCGGTGGGGACGGACCCTGGCGACGTGATCACTTCGACGAAGCACAATTCACTCGTGTCGTCGTTTCAGCACTTTCGAAGCGACTTGCAGTCTCCCGGCAAGGCGCAAGTCCACTTGTTTCAACATTCGCGCCAGCTCCACGCCGACGATCGAAAAATGTCCAACGTCATGGCGCTAGTTCGGTCGAAGTTGACGTCGCAGGCGTTGTTGGCGCCACCCCCGGCAGCGTTTCCGAAGCCATTGCAATCCCAAGCAACGGACATATCGCTTTTTGACCACTTACCACCCCTCGCCATGGAAAACGTGTCCTCACCGATCAAACCGTCGCCCGCATCATGCCCCAAAACATCTCGCACGTCTTCCATTCGTTCGGAAACTCCCAAATGCATCGTACCAAAACCCACCCACTTGCCGTTGTCGATGCTCGAATCCCCGCGATACTCCAAGGCCCGACCCTTTTCACTGGGTGGATCGCCACGGATCAAGACGATCCGTGCGCCACTTCCACTTGAATCACCCCAACAGCCGACCACACGTCATGACGCATCTCCCCAAACGACAGCTAGATCGACCACGTTTACATCGGCGATGTACAAGGGGTATACGGTCCCCCCATTGTCTTCACGAGGTCGTCCAAGAACACCCTACGAAGATGCTGCCGGTGTCGTGTCAGCAGGATTGCATTAAAACCCCGTTTATGGGTGAAGTAGTGCGTCCACCGAGATACACGCTTGTGTTGTGTCTTGTGCCAGCAAAGTCGTTGCGAATCGAAAAATGGCCCGAGGAAGGCCACGCAAATCTTGGATCGCCGGATGCGCGGCCAATACCGAGTACAAGTTCTTGATTGTGTCTTCCATGCCTGGCTCATACAGCGGCGATCGCTTCATTCCATGAATTGACATCTTTCGAGGAAACACCATGTCCACAAGCAACTTTGCCGACGCTCTTCGTGTCATGGGCGGAGTCTTAAACACATATAGACCATGGTCGTGGACGCGATCCGTTTGGCAAAAGTACTCGGAGGTCGTCAGGACCTTAAGTCCAATGTTGTCGGTGAGTTGTGTGTTGATAAAGGTGGTAAACATTTGGGCATCTCCAAGGAGTAATGTGTCGCACCCATCCAGGACAATGAGCATCGGGGTACCATGTATGTGCCGCGTCAGTTTGTGCAATCTATTGCGTGTCAGGCTCAAGGAGTTCAAGGCCGATTACATACCGCTGCACTCGTCGACTTGCACACGCTCGCAACTCATCTAGCAAGCACTCAAGTTTGTCGTAGATTCTACAGAAATATTGAAATTGCCGAGTCAGTTCATTGACCATTGTCTCAGGTACCAAGACAGCAAGGGAACACACCGTTCGTGGGGGTGATTGAGGTTCTCTTGTCCAACCATGATTGATGCATCATCTTCGCACAATTCAGCGACGCTGACGTGGTACACTCCACCCAGAAACGCCATGCGAGGGCTCAAATATGCCATTAATGCGTTGGCCAATTGCGTTTTTCCTGGTGGTATACATCACAATCGACGTGAGAGGCCAAGAGTTACACCAAGTCGGTCCTCACCAACGCCAGCCGGCCCAGTGACCCATACCCAGCGCTTGTACTTGACGTGACTCTCTTCCGTCAGGTATGCACACAGCTAAGGAATTCATAATCCATTCGACCACCACTTCGTGAACACTTCAAGTATATGAAGTGATGGTTCGTACCCGCAGCTGTTCAATGGAGCGAAATCGAAAGTTCTATGACCACGACGTTTGTCAAAACATCCAGAGAAATGATCGTACTGGGCACAGCGTCGGGAGAGAAATATTCCAGATATTGGGAAATCTCGCTTCAAACGGAACGTGAAACGATCGCGGCACGACCATGTGCGGAAAGATCACTTCGTTGTGATAGAGGTGAGTTGGAAGTAGTGTAAACTTCTCCACGCCCTGCTCAATGTTCATCACATTAAATGGATAAATCCAATTACGTCATTTCTCCTGGTTTGTTCATCCTACCGTGGTGCGTGTGGACGCTAGGCGATGGGGCGACCATGAAATTGTCTTCAAAGCGTGCAGGAAGCACGCCTCAACTGAGAGCTGGCCCATGGCCAAGTTCAAATAGAATGCCCTACATACGTCATGTCAGTTCAAATGGATTCGATGTAGTCGAGTCAGGTTACGAGGTAAAGTGCACCGCTTCGCAATCTTCGACCGTCGAATCACCGCGAATCGCTATCACATGCGGCACTCCACATTCGACAAACGCATTTGCTACACAATGTTCATGGGGATGATGACATATTGGGGATAATGACCATAAATATAGAGATTCACAGCGCACCGATGTGTTCAGAATTGCAAGAATTGACCACCACCAGTCGCAGGTTAAGCTGAGCTGGCCCACGTAAAATCTGCACAAGCGTATCGTATGGAATTGGATCTGCCATGCCTTGCTCGTCATCGCTCTCAAAGTAGAGACAATTGGTTGCTCCATGCCCCGAGTAATGCAGGACGCGGCACTTGGAGGAAACCATCGTGTGAAGCGCGTCCATGGTGGCGAAGCTCACGGACACATCGATGGGAGGCGCAGCGTGGACCATGGGGACCCCCGCACCATTTACGTGATCTTTCCACTGTTGAGCACAAGATAAAGAAACGACAGTGCTGTGAAGGAATACCGTTGTATTCGCGGCAGAGATTAGGGAATGCTTGAGACAGTCGTATTCCTTTTGAAAGTTCAACATCTATGTGGGAAACATTTCGATGGTGCAACGTACAATCCAGCTCATAGCCACAACTTACATCGTGGGAGCGTAACTTCGGGCCATCCTGATAGCACAACGGACCAGCGAAGAGAATCCCCTGTGCATTTCGACGAGTAGAACAAGCGTCATGATGTGCGTCAACCCTCGTACCAGAACGTTATGACCAAGTGCGATCGCTGGTGATTTGCATGGAGTGTCCATGCGACATAATCGGGGATCTTCGACTTCGTATTGTATCTTGCAGCTTCGACGCGACCGATCCTTGGCGTATGCAAGGCGAATAATGTCACCATGAACGACACGTGTGGGAACATTGGGTACTGGACATCATGTGAGCATATCCTGTGGAAGGTGAACAAAAACGGTACCAAGAGGATTCGAATTGACAACTGTGCCGTTGGTGCTGCTTAAATCGGTTACGTATAGTGATGCACCGTCTTCTTCTTTCCATTCAATGTAGCAATGCCTCGAGCTCAAGCAGATGAGTCCCAGTGACGTGATCGCTGCACTTTGAAGGCACGATGTATAGCCCTCGCGGCCGAAAGTGCAGGATCGCTCGTGGGGTCTATACAGGACATATTTGGAATTGTGATGAGACTGCCAACAACGATGCAATTACCCGAGTTCGATGTTGACGAGGTCACCTTTGTCCAGCGATGTCAAGTCGTATTGCGTCATGCATTCCTTTGTCGACGCATGAAGTTTCAGTCTCATGGACTCTTTCTTGTCTTCTTCGTAGTAACGTCGCAACTGGGAAAGCTCTTCGTCGTCGTCGTAGCACAAGTCCTGGCTTGGTGGCGACTGACACTCGACCTCCTTCGTCACGTCGGGATGCACAGTGATTGGAATGATCGCCAACGGCGACGATATCACGTCACACTTGGACGGACTTGCTCGCTTGGGCGATGGCGCATGGGCGTTGCCGTCGTTGGGAATGTCGACCGATCTGCCGTCCTGGTTCTCCATGCTGCAGGCTCAACTCGTATCCAAAAGTGCTGTTGAGATCCCATCGCAAAAAACTTAAAGATAAAATCAATTGCACGAAATATCCATACAAACAGTAAGCAATTAATTTTCAAATTCACAGAATTAATAAACAATTTCAATGTTTCCCGCGTTTTGTTTGTATGGGTCAGTTCAACATTACTAGTATGTCATTTCCTTTTTTCGTTTGAGGTTGTTGCGGCTCTCCATCAAGGATGCGCCTGTTCCTTCCGCGGCCAACACGTCGACGACGACGTACGGCGCGCATCCGTACACGGCGCTTTGGTCAAGCAGCTGGAACGCGAGGGAAATATGTCCACGCACGAGCAAGTTGACATGCTGTAGAATCTCAATGGGTACGGGTGTCAAAATGTGAAACTCATGGCGGTCCACATCGATGCTCCGAACAATGCCTAATCATAACATGCGTTCATACCAAATGAATAAAGGACGACAATGGCATGTACCGTGACCGACACAAGGAACTATGGGATTGTCCACGACGGCTCTGGGGCCATTGTGTTCCGTGGCATCCGACGCCATCTCGAATGGATGAATGCACAGACCCACAACACTTGCATTCAGGACGTGAAGGATCTGACTCGGAGGCACGGACCCCCCCGACACACGCAAGTTGACCTTAGAAAAAGGAACGCGGTATGGAATTTGTTGTGGGTATATCGTTGAGAGTAGACGGGTATACCTACGACAAAGTGCCAAAGTCGCACGCAAAGTCGATGAAAACGAGAAAAGCTACCGCGTCTGCTCGGATGTACAATGAATGCTTTGTAGAGGCACATGTGATGGCACTGGAATCCGACCCAGAAAATACGCGTGTAGTCGGAACTGCCGCAGTTCTTTCCCACTTCGTGCAGGCTGAGGCGGCTCGACATCCCACATTTCAATCGGATGCAACGTCCACTACACTTAAGGGCATGAAAAGGGTAAGGCAACGAGAGTTCATCAGTACCTGAGGCGACGCGGGAACTTCGAAACTTTTCGCCTTGGACAAAGCCACGACTTGGACTACGTGCTTCGGGGAGGCGGCTGTCAGAGTCGCTTGTAGGAGGTCATAGCCCATGCTCTTGATCCAACCATCCGTGTTGATAACCAGCGGAATCGCAAGGTCTTTTGCCGAGTAGTCGTTCAGCAGCGCCGAGATCGCGTCCATGTACACGGTCGGATCGGCTTTTGGGCTGCTAAAGCCAAAAAAATACGACCTGCACCCAAACATGAACAACCGTAGTTTGACGGGACGATGAAAACTCACCGATACGCAGGTTGGAGATGAGTGTATCCAGGTCCCAGCAACGGCGTCGTGATGTAATGCAGGGAGAGCACACCAGGTGCGGCAAGTTCCGGCTGCCCAACGTCTGTATCCAGATAGGCCACAATGGAATAGACATTGAGCAATTGGTTCACCAAATACCGGCTGAAGGTGGACTTGCCCACACCCTTCGCCCCGCAAACGAGCACTTTACGGTTCGACGATGCGGCCAAGTTCTCTAGAATCGACGAAGCCACCGTGGACCATGTCGGTGGAATGAGGATTTCTCGGACAGGATGCGGCTCCAGTGACGTGACGGAGGCAAAGTCGACGGACTCTCCATGGTACACGACCAACGATCCATCAAAATTGGTTGCTGGTGCTCCGTGCTTAGGTTTCTTGATCTTGGTTTTCTCGACGGTGTGGGTCATGTTCTTGTGACGAATGAACTTGAAACCAGGTAATGGCACGCCTCCCCCAGAGGTTCCGGTGGATCCAGCATCAAAATACGACGAGAGATTGCCGTAGGTAACTCGCATCGACCTAATGATCAGCACGATCGGGAAGCGCACGGCAATGTCCTTCGCCAACGCATCTGCGGCCCCCTCTTCGACCATTGCTAGAGAGTCATCCTCGTGAGTGAGGTTCCAGTGGGCTTGAACCAATGACGAGCACGGAGCTTGGAACACCGATGTTGATGCAATGCCTGTGATGGACATCAGGTTCGACCATCGAGGAGAGAACACATCCACGTATACGCCAGGTTTGGCTTCATACCCCAGCATGGACACACCACCTTGGAACACCCGAAGGTGTGCCATGCCAGCGCAAACCAACTTCTCATGCACCTCCATCCCAATGACGACGTGACTCTTGGATGGTGTGCACGCAACCTTGTCGTCTGTCGCGCAATATGCGTCCATGAGCTGCTGCATCTGTGCCTGTTGGACGTCCAAGGTTGATCGCTCCATTGCGAGCAATTGTTGGTTCGCTATAAAGACAACATTACACTATTTTCATGCAATCAAACACGCTGTATATACTGTAAGACGCGTATTATAAATATGTTTATAGTGCAATAAAAATATTTTAAATGAATGTCAAGTACACGGCTGTGCAGAAATCGACAGTTTTAAATTCATATAACTGTAAAGCACAATTCAACATGATCGTTCGGCCAAGGTCGTGTTTTCGGCAATCTGATTTTGGTTGCCGTCACCGAACCAAAGCCTCCAGGGGGTGCACCATTCAAGAAACTCATTCACACCGCCTACCATCCAGTCAAGCATATGCATCTCATGGCAGCGGTAAGTTCGCAAGCCCCTCAACGTCCGTGTAACGCCTCCGACATCTGCTCAGCATGCATCCGGTTACTCACCTCTTCTACGAAGTTACACATTGAATTATCCGGATACGGTTTGGCTCGAGAGGGCTCCGACATAAGTTACACATTGCATTATCCGGATATGATGGCCGAAATAATAAAATCACTTGTATTTTGTACTATGCGACAGCAGTACGGAATGGTGGCATCCGGATACGTCCCCAGTTCAACTTTTGGCCGGTGCCAGCTAACAAGCAAGTGCGCCTGAGCCCTCTCCCCACATCCTTACTGTCCATCCCCCGACATGTACTCTAGCTACGCCAAGGCCCCCAAGTCGGCGGACCAGGGGAAGAAGCAAGTGGCCACGGACCATGAAGCCCTTCATCGCGATGCCACGATTCACCAGGCTGTCCAGTCGTCGGAGAGCCACCTGACGCCGTTGGACTTGGAAACCATCATGTCCAACAAAGGCGTTGTCAAATACTGGTACCTCCACCGACCCAAAACGATGGAAATCGTGCACAAGAACGCCGTCAAGGTGCAGTCCGTCGCGCGCTCCTTTGCTGTACGGTCACTCATCCGCAAGGTATCTTCCACAACAACAAACTATGAGTTGTCTTCCCAGGCTCATACCAGTCATTTCTCGCTAGTACGGCATCAATTACATGGTCGAATTGGCCAAGCGTGACGCAGAAAAGAAAGAAGCCGAGCGCCTCGCCGCCATGACACCCGACGAGCGTCGTCGCGAGGAAGAAGAACGAATCGCGTTCGACCTTAAGGTCGAAGAAACCCGCCGTCTCAAACGCCAAGCCACCGCGCTCGCTGAAGAGAAAGCGGCCCAGGAACTCGCCGAACAAGCACGCTTGGCCGCGTTGGCGGAATCTGAGCGGCTTGCCGAAGAGTATGTCGTCCCTCTCAAATGTTTCGTCATCTCACCACTGCATCAGACAGCGCAAGCGCGACGAAGCTGAAGCTGCTGCTGCTGCCCTGGCTGCTGAAGAAGCTGCTAAGGCTGCTGCCGCCCTGGATGCTGAAGAAGCTGCTAAGGCTGCTGCCGCCCTGGCTGCAGAAGAAGCTGCTAAGGCTGCTGCCGCCCTGGCTGCGGAAGAATCTGCGAAGGCTGCTGCCGCCCTGGCTGCGGAAGAATCTGCGAAGGCTGCTGCCGCACAAAAGGCCTTGGATGACAAAGCTGCTGCCGGTACCGCCGCCGCTGCTGCGGTCACTGCTTTGCCCAATGCTGAGGTCACAAAGGGCGCTGCGTGGTCTAATGTTGACAGCAAGGTTCATGGTAATGTCGATGCTGCCGCAGCGGCTGCCGCTGTCGCTTCTACGGAAGCTGCACACAAGGCTGTGTTGGACGAAGCCGCGCAGTTGGAGCGTGAGGCAGAAGAGCGTGAACTTGCGCATGCACGTGCTTTGGCTGAGAAGGCCGCGCGCGAGCGCGAGCTGGCACTTCAAGCTGAGAAGCAGGCCAAATACGAAGACTCTCTCGGCCGGGATGTGCCGATCGTCGTCACCGACCACGGCCGCGGTCGCGTCTTGTTTTATGATCGCGAGACAGAAGTGTACTCGGTGGCGATTGAGCACTACGGGAAGCCGGAGGAAGTCCTCGACGTGTACCCAGAGGAAATTGTGCTGGACGGCGAGCGCATCTTATCGCCGAAAACGCTTGTGGATACCCCGTTTGGCGTGGGTGAAGTTGTGGGGCTGGACCCTCATTTGGGGTGCTATGCAGTGACCAACTTGGTCGTTCGCGAGGAAGGTGTGGACGAAACAGCTGCGCCGCAAGCGTTTTTGCAGATCCGCGACATTGTCCGCCACGTGGAAGAGCGCGAATCGCACGACGTGGTCGTCGAAGCTGGGGGATTGCCCATCCCCGACGAGATCACGATGAAGTCGGCGCGCATTGTCAACTCAAAGATCGTAACACAGTCGCGACACAAATTTGTCCAGTACCACTTGGAAATCCAAACGACCAACTACGGCACCGTGTACTGCTGGAAGCGATACTCGACCTTCCGCCTCCTCTGCGACCGTCTGATGAACGAAGCCGGGTACAAGAAGAAGGAGATTCCCGAATTGCCCAAACGACACATCACAGGAAATATGTCGGAGAAGACGATTCGCGAACGCGTCGAGAAACTCAACGAGTTCCTGGACGCCGCTGTCCGCGCCGAGCACCTGCAATGGGGCATCAAGGTCGACGACCAAATTGCTGTCTACAAGCGCCGTGTAAAGAAGCCACGTAACGCTGCCCCCGCGCCTTCCAGCAGCGTCTTTGGCAGTCGACGGCGGTAAATCCATGCTTGATCGCGACGCAGATATGACAACGTGTTCCGCTCAAGTAAACAAGCCATTGAGTTCTTCACGCACATGCTTTGATTTTTTTGTCCAATCATACCGTTTCATTTTCATTTGTCGACATCTGATTCGTAAATCCGTGGCGTTCTTGCCAATCAACCGTGTCTCATATAATTTTATTACGTGATTGGACAAATTTACAACGCATGATTTTGTGCAATGGGGCAAGATGAGGCTTACAAATCGGCACTGTGGACTTGTACACCTCGATCAACACGATTCAGCACAGGGCGCTTGTGCAAAGTGGGTCCGCGCCCTGCCACAGTGCGAGTGGAGAGGGTTGAAACACAGTTCTCTGTGTGTGTGCGTGGGCATCCGGTACCAATTTTATCTTGAGGTTTGTATGGTGGCTTTGGGAGCTTCGGCCATTGGACAATCCCAAGTGTCAGCCAATGGCATTGCAAGATTCCCCCAATGATGATCCTATTTATATATCAAAAACGTTGAAGTTGAGGCGTATTTTTGCCTGACCAGTTCCAATATCCTCGACGATGATACGATTCAAGGTTCCGAGGCGCGTGTTGCTGCCGCCGCCGCCCGCGCTTCCTTCGTCAGTCTTTGCCACGATTGCCGCGGCGGACTCGACGGAGCTCATCCGTGCATCGAAAGTATGCCAGCCCAGGCTTTTCACAAACTGTGTATTTACAGTCTACTTTATCACCGTGTCGGACCACGCAAACCACCAGTGGTGGACGATTCGAAAGCGCTTCTCCGACTTTCACCGACTGCGCAATGATCTCCAGTCCATGGCGGCAAAGCCCAGTGCATTCCAACACGACCTTCGTGCTGTGTTGCAATTGCCATTCCCGAAAAAGCACTTTGATGTCGACATGCCAGAAGTAGTCCACGAACGCACAGTCTGCTTCAAGTTGTGGACGCAAGGCCTCATGGACTTGTACCTTCGAGCTGCACACGATTTGCAGCCGACCCAATCCAAATTCCACGGCAGTGACGCGTCCGCGTTGACCGCCGCCCTTCGCACGTTCTTGATGGTGCCCACCACAGACAAAAAACACGAATCAATCCGCGACGACAGATGTGCCATCTGCCTCTGCGACCTGGACGAGTGTGTATCGATATTACGCTGTGGGCATTCTTTTCACCGGGACTGTGTCTTTGGATGGGTTGATGAGAAGCGAAGTTGTCCGATTTGTCGGCGGGAGACAAATGTGCTGACAGGAGTGTACCTGCCACCCTCAGAAAACCAAACACAGACGTTGGTGTCCTAGATAGCCTTTGACACACAACTCGCGTGATCAAACGATGTTAATGGAGCTCTCCTTGTTGTTTGCGATCCCGCCGCGCGATGCGGCCCCGTCGATTGGAATCTTGCCAAAGTCTTCCAGGCATCGGTTGCATCTGCGCTTGCGCTGCATTGGCAAGTAAGGCACGACGGAGAGAGACTAAAGCACTCCATCAAACCATGTCAAAGGTCCTCGCAACGTGTGGGCATTGTAGTTGCCAGCGTTTTATCAACGAGAGCTGGTTAGATTTTCAAAGTCGTGTGGTTGCAAGCAAAATTCCAAGACAGCAATACTGTTGGGGGTCAACTCAAAACGCAGAGATACAGGAATTGCACTGGCCACGAAGCGCGAAAGAAATGCAAGCCTTGGAGGCGACAGGTGACTCGCCTCCACGAACAAAAGCCTTCTCGTCGGCGTGACCGACGTCTTCATGCTTGTGCTTGCGTACCTCGAGGGTGGACCCTCATGTCCGCGTCAGAGCGAAACAAGTTGTCCTGGTCGGTGTCGTGATTCATGGCGAAGAATCTCTCGAGCCTCACGGCCACGGCGCAGGTCCTCCGCATCTGGAGATGAATCGCGAGCGTTTGCACCGAGACGTTCAACCGATCTCATGAAATTCACACCGTCGTTGTCGACAATCGGTGGCTCGACGCGCTCCCAGCCGATTTGATAAAACGACGCCGACAAACTACATTAGCGACCACTCACCATCAGTTGCGTGGGTCGGTCATGGCACAAAAGAGCGGCCTCTACCTGATGGCGTCGCATCAAGACCGAGCGGAGAACCTGTCCACACTGCTTTACGTTGTTCATTCAACAGATTCTCGCAAACGGACCAGAGGACTGGGGTATGTGTCGATGCCGTGTTCAGCACCAAGTCGGCAATTTGCTGTCGTGGTCAAGCGCAGACGGAAAAGTGGGCACGACGGGGGATGCGCAGGAACTGTCCTTCGCATGGCGTCATCGCGACATGAACTTGATGAGGAGGGCATAGCCAGTGCTGCGGTCGCTTCATTCAGTGCCATGCAAGTTCGTGGTCCCTGTGAGCAGCTCAGTGGGAATTGCTGAGCACGGTTTACCGCATGCTTGTTCTTCGCCCCCCACGCCCTCCCTCGTCATGTGGAACGGTTCATGTAAAGCACGTTAGATCGACGTCCCAGTCACGTTCATCTCGACCGCGTCAAACGTTTGGACAACACGCAAACCCGTCTCATGAGTTTGTGTCGTCGAACGTAAAATGATTCACAAACATGTCGGACTACTCCAGACGATGCAATCTATCATGGTCGCATGTTTATCCCCCCGGTGGATTGCATGGAACGATATGCGGTCTGCTTCCTAAATATTCAGTAAGATGCTACCCCCCCTAGCATAATGAGTGCTCTACCCCCAAAACCTGGCTCTGTTGTGGATGCCCTCCCCTTCGCAACTTGTCAGGTAGGACAAGTGTCGCTCGGTTGCCGTCCAAGTACCTTTCGTACCGCACATGAGGATATGCTTGGGGGAGATGTGCGGGGCGATCGGTTCATGGACGAAACGTGGCATCGTCTGAACAACGAAGCCCACGCGCGTCGTCGAAGTCGTCATGTACGGCCGCGGCAAGGTACACTGTCGTGCAAAACTACATGCCATGTGAACGCGCGTCTGAATCCAAACGAAGTGGACCACTGCGAATGCACGCAAGATGTCCGATTTCCTTGTCATCCAAGCCACGTTACTCACCCAAGTCGTACTACCAATCACCCGACGAGTGCCCAAGTTTGCTCCAAGCAGCCGCCGTCCCCTCCCCTGCCTCCAGCGGCAACGATCCCCTTCTTTGGACATTGTGGCGACGACAGCGCTGCCCCGTGGCAAACAAATATTGAATCGTTCCCACCAATGCGACAGGCAGATCCACGTTGTAAACTTTGTGTCAAAACATATAGCAAACGTTCTGAAGCTGCGACATGGAGGCAACGGGCTTGCCAGCATCCGACGCCACGGCCTCTTGTCGCCGTGTTGGCATGCACAACGCGTGCTGTACCGACGGTCGCTCGAGCTACGTAGACGGCAAAGCTTTATCAGATCCCATAAATATTCCAGGGCCACGACGCGCACCCACATTTCCACGCGAGCCATGATTGCGGCATCCATGTCGACTTGGTTTTCGAAATGGCCCATAAAGTTGGACTCGGAGCATATCATCTGCTCGTGGTGTTTGTGAGCCCCCTCGCGCTGCTGTTGCTGCTTCCATTTCTGGCATCGAAGGAACGCCCGGAGGCCAACCACAGCAACGTATGTGTGCGTTTGGCAGTGACCTAGCTCTCGAATTACATTACAACCTACCGACTACGACGCCTTGAACGAGCGGCCCTACAGCACCCCGCTACTGGACGTGCCAAGCCCCATAATGTTCTGAAAGATGAACGTGTCTTCGGGGGACCAGGATGATTCGTCCACGTCAAAGTCCTCGAGCTTGATGTCGGGGACCTTTGCGAATTCGTCAACGGTCGACATGGCGTAGTCCGACTCGCCCGACGACGAGCACGTGTCGGTGCTAGAATGGTACAGGATCTCCATGAGCTTCGAGTCGTTCGTGACGGTTGCATCGGACGCGAGCTTGGCGTACATGGACTGCATGCGCTTAGCTTTGCGGATCTTGCTGTCGGATTTGTTCTGGATGCGGTTGTGTCGGAGGCGGTGCTCTTCGCACAGCGTGTGGATCTGGCCGTTGAATTTCAACGTCCGCTCGTTCTTGCACTTGCCCGACTTGTACTTGCACTGACCGCGGTACTTGGTCACGTTCTCGTCGAGGACAATGACAAAGCTCGACCGGTACGGCCGCTTTCGGGGCGGTGTTGCGGGCACGGGCCCCAAGTCAAAGTCGACTGGGCACGGGACGAACGACAAGCTCATGGCTTGAGCACGGCGCAAATTGAAAAGTGAGCCGCCACCCCCTTGAGGAAACCGCGGGTGGTGCACAGGCGAAGCGCCGCCACAAAAGTTGGCACAACAACAAAATATCCGAAATGAAGCACCATCGAATCGGTCTTCCGGGCGGCGTTTGCGTGCCTACAGCCCTAGCTGCCGCCGGATGTTCGAAAATACACCCGGCTTTGTGGCTGCTGCATACGTGTGCTTGAGACCATGCCCCGTTCTGATCAATTCATAAACTTGCGCGCTGCGTGGCGAGAGTGGGTCGGTGCGCGCGCGGCGTGATCGAACGAAAGGGCGTCGTTCGCTTGGTGGGTTGTTGCACGCGCGCGAAGGAATTCGCAGACCGACGTGCCGCCCCCCACGCCACGGGTGGTTGTGCGTTTGGTCCGTGCAATATCGAGTCGGGTCGGTGGACGCTTGTTCTTCTCGTTTCGACTTTGTCGAACGACAACGTCGCTCTCGCCTGCAATGAATTGCTTGGACGGTTGGTGGCTGCATGTGTTGGGACATGCGACCAAGACGGCTGCGTCGAGTCTCGTGGGTGGAGCTGCAAAACTGGCGGCGACTGGTCTACTTGTCCATCCAATTCGACCCACCCAGGAATTTCCCCGCGCTGCTTCGACAACCATCTGGTTGACCCATCAACAGCCACCTCGACTGCGCTTCGAGGAGATATGTAGGCCGGTGCCCCACCAGCACACCAGACATGCCAACATTCACCGCACCACCACATCCCCGCTTTATAGCCCATGCAATCGTGTGGCGCAAACGGGGGCCATGCCGTCGACTTGTGTGTTCCTCGCGTAGGGGGTCACGAAATGTCTCAACGCGTGGGTTCGTCCGTATCAAATAAGCACGTTAAGACAGGACAAGTCGTGCAAGAGGATCGGGGACTGTTCTAGAGTGTTGAATTGGACTCGGCGGCACCTGGCTTCCACGAGCCCCCTCCCCGCCCCCCGCAGCAGCCGCCGTCCTGCTATTTTGTACTACCAGCATGCTCGAATCAAGTACGCGATGGGGATGTCGGTACTGTAGGGCTCGCGTTGGTCACGTGCGCGCGATTCGAGTCCGTCGCGGCCGCGGCGAAACCTGAGACAGGGGATCTCCCGTCGTCCTGCAACGCAGCCGGCAGGCAAGGGCAATCGAGTACCCACCAACCCCCGCACCACCGGTTGCCACAACGTCCAGCGTCGTGGGTGCTCGAGACAGTCCAGAGCCACTCGGGTTGAAGGTCCACGTCGATGCTGCTCCGTCAAAAATTTGCGAGCTGGCCCAACACCCCCGACAAATGATCGTACGAATGGAGAAATCCCACTGCACATCGCGCTCGACGCGCTTTCTTTCCGCTGAAGACCGTCGTGCGCATGACAGGTTACGGTATTGGTTGCTTGGGGAGATGCTGTCCAACAGCAAGTGTACCCAGCCAGCGCCCCCGAGAGGGGGAGGTGCCGGCGAGATACTGCGCATAAGCTCGCGACGGTGGACGACGGCGACGCCGTAGGGTTCGATCCATGCATGCATCGACATCATTTCTAGCACACGGAGCAAAAGGACGGGGGCGTTGAACGCTCGAAGGGGTGCACAGGGCGAAGAGCACGCCGTACATGGATGGGCTTTGTGATGTGCATGCCCGTTGACCTTACAGGGGTGGTGGGCGTGTGGATGCTGCCGCCGCCCCGACTGAATGTGCACATTCGATGCGAAAAGGACAGGACAACCACACGATATATTTCACTGTACTACCCCGGGCCATCCATCCTTCGTCTTGATCACGTCTCGGAGTTGGCAAACGCAATCGTGTCCGTGGGTGCAGCCGTGGCGTTGCGGTCGTGCGTGCCGTTGGATGGGGCATTCGTGGTGATCCCGACCAGCACGCTTGGGCTATCCGTTGTCGTTGTCGCAGTCGGAACCTTGGCCGACATCAGATTGTTTGGAGGCGCGGACACCACGCCCAGCGCGAGGGAGATGTCCAACCGGCCAGCCCCGGCCACGTTGTTTGGAAAGCTGTCGTCTGGTAGGCCCCCGCACCGAAGCCCGACCGACTTTGTCCTGGCTGCCGATGTTGTCAGCGCCACAAAAATGTCTTCAAATGTTGCATGGGGGAACGCAGATAAATACAGTGCCACCGCCCCACCCGTGTAGCCCGCGGCTAGCGACGCGCCGCTTCGGACGATGTACGCGTCGTCGGCGGAGGCGTCTGCGGTCCGCACTGCATTCCCCGGAGCTGCAATGTCCGGCTTTACACGGTACTCCTGCGCCGGACCGAACCGACCGAATTCCGTCACGGAATCGCCAACGTTGGTTGGAACTGCCGCGAGCGCCAAGTCAGAGCTAGCCGGGCCGGCTACCGTGCTGCACTGCCGAGGGCTGACGCCATCCACGAGTTGCTGAGTGACGCCAGAGCCAAATATTGGCACGATGCCGCCAACGTTCCACGCCACCAGGACGGGGGTGAACCAGCTCGCAGCGTCTGTGTGCCATCCATTCACGATCACGTGCGGTGCCAAGCCGCACTCTGCGGTCGATCCTTCCACGGAGGACGGGCAAAGCATGAACTGCGCGCACGCAGTCATCGCTCGTTCGGTGCACCTGCCGTTTTGGCACGCTGCACAGGCCATCCAAGTTGCCGCTGGAGCACCACCGACGGCCGCCGCGGTCACTGCAGTGCCATGGCCGCTGTAGTCAATCGGGCTTGGGCTCGCTCCACCGGTTGCATCAAACCAACCATGGTCGCTTCGATACGTCGAGTTGAGACTTTGGTGCGTGTGTCGAACTCCTGAATCGATGGTACCCACAACGACGTTGGCTCCTCGAACTCCTCGCTGCCATGCCGACGGTGCCTTTATCCGCTCGATAGGCCATGCAACCAAGTTGCCTGCCGAGGTTGCATCGTTCTGGATCGGCGACGTCACAAACCCGAGCAGTTGTCCGTCGGGAATCGCCGTTCGAACGAGGGACACCGCGGGGTCGGCCGCGATCGCAAGGACTAGCGACGCGGACGCATGGCTGAGAAAGATCCGATTCGAAATGTAGTAGGATTGTGCTTGGAGGGTCGGGTCGTTGGTCAAGGCGTCCAGAATGAGCTCGAGGACGCCGCCTTGGCTTTGCCTGGCCGTGGTTTCGAGAAGCGTTGTGATAGTCGCGAGGCGGTCGGGTCGGGGCAGCCTGGCCAGCGCACTCGCGTCGAACGCAGGCGTCGCAGCGAACTCGACCACCACAGACGGAACAGTGGAAGCGTTTTGCACGTAGGAAGCAACGACAGGGTCGATTTTGGACGTCGGCAAGTCCATGGCATGGCCCGTAACCAACGCCGCCAGCAACGCGACGATCGCGGCAGCCTTCATGTGGTCGGAATACTGTAGCAATGGTCGCGTCGGTCGTCCGCGACAATTGTCAAACTTGTAGTGGTATCCGCAGCCAGCAGAATACAGACGCGATCGTCACGCCAGGTATTTATCTTGAGAATTGTATGGTATACAACAACAAGATAGCCAGCCTTTCTGCAGGCCGAGTCTTGCCAGCCCAAGTTCGATCGTGCTGGTATTTGCTCGGGATGTTTATGCCGATTGCGGCGGCGACCGCACCCAGGTGCAGGGCCTCCTGCGACAGCGCAGTACCGCAGCCCAAGCGCGGTGCATCGGGACGACGCGAGTGCTCGGACCGATCTCGACTCGCTGGGACGGGCCGTACCTGGAAGTGCGACAGTGGGATTCCATGCCGACGACGTAGAGCACCCCCCCCTCCACTGACTTTCACTTCGATGTTGTCTTGTTGGAAGGAGTTCTGGGGTTGCCCAGGGTTGCTCCAGCGAGAACAACACGAATGACATCCTAATGCTCGAGCTCCAACGCAGAAGGAGGGTCGGATCATGCGCATGCCTAGAGTGCAGGACGAATGCACTGACAGATACACTCTTAGGAGAAAAAGCCGTCAGGAGAGGAGGGGCAGACCAAGGACCTTGGATGAGAGCAAATGTCGGCGATGGACGCACCCAGCCGGGAACGTCACACCATTGAAAGGCTTCATGCCGTGTTTCCATCAAGATCACTGGATGAACCTTCACGATCTCTTGAACTCGTTTCGACGGTCGTTGTGTAGCCATCGCTGCGAAGCAAGAGAGAAATCGGAGCGAGGGGCCAAGCGATACAACGTAGTTTGTTTTTGCCAGCAGAACCCTCACTTGATGCAGCCGATTGGGAAGACCATCGGCGGCTGTGGCATGGGATGCTAGGTACCGTGGTCGCCAGGATGAAGTTGTCGAGAGGGAATGAGGTCATTGCTTGGCGGGCGGTTCCGACCCTACCACACACCTTGGTGGTAGCTGACGTGCTACTTCGCGTTGGCTCTCGCGCGTTGGCGCGAAGGCACGCGGTCAACGACGCCGGCATCGTGGCTGAACACACGCCGTGTCCATCATTGGGAATTTCACATGTTTGAAATGTCCATCCATTTGTCCGATTAAGGAAGTCCGGACACTGCCAGTCAGTCAACTTCGTTGTTTGAGCATGGCTGGCGCGGCGGCGGACGAGTTGACCGTGCGCCGTCCCCTCTCCTTCGCTCGATGCCTTGCAAAGCTTCTTGCCTTGGCTGTGACGACGCCCATCAGACGACTCTTGGGATACAAGCCTCCTGTGGACGGATGGACAATCCAGCACGAGATCGCCGTCGCCTTCTTACGCTACTCCCTCGTGACGGACAATGCGTCGGCTCGCCGCAACGAGTCCAGATTGATCTACATAGCGAACCTCCAGCTAAAGACACAGCTCGTTCCGATGGAAGCCCCGGGCTTCCGCGGTGTGTGGTACGGCGGTCCGACCAACGACGCCGACGCGACCATCCTGTACCTTCACGGTACTTAGGTTTCTGGCCCATTCAACGCATTCCCACATCGCCGCAATAGGTGGAGGGTACGCTCTGTGCGATTCAGCGACGTACGCTTTAGCCAACCATGCCATCCAAGTGACTGCGAGCACAACCAGTGGCAAGCATGTCCGCGTGCTAGGACTCGAGTACTCCCTCGCCCCTGAAGCCAAGGTGTGGTCGATGCCGCTGCCCCCAGCCCTCTCAACCTCGCCTGAGCGTAGTTTCCGACCCAAATGAACGAAGCACTGGCAGCGTACTCGTACCTAGCCAACGACAGCAACAAGCCCATCGTGTTGATGGGCGATTCAGCCGGCGGCCACTTGGTGTTGCAACTTCTCTTGGCGTTAAAGACTCCAGGTAAGGCTCGCACAGAGTGCGCCGTTGCGTCTAATGAAATGGGAAGAGTGGTCGCACTTGCGCAAGCCGCAGGCATCCGTCGCAGTGTCCCCATGGTGCCAAATGAACTTGTCCCCGCTTCCAATCTCGTACACGACCAACAGCGCGACGGACTATGTCCAATTGATTAACATTCGGCACTACAACAACGACCTCTTGCCCGACAACGTCTCGGTCACGAATCCTTCGGTGTGAGCAGCAGCATCCTTTTCATTGGGTCATCCTCCTCCTCGTGTTGTAGCTGAATCCATTGAACGGCGACTTTCGAGGGACTGGGCCTGTGCTCGTCCACTACGGCGGCAAGGAAGTGTTTGCGAGCGAAATCGAGCAGCTCGTTGAGGTGCTCCAGCGACAGGACGTGGACGTGACGGTGGTCAAGGAGCCGCTGGCGCCGCACATCACGCCGATGCTCCCGTCTTTCTTTGGAGCGATGGCCGTCAAGGGCCAACAAACGATTGGAAAATACATCGGCCAACATGTCAATTCCTAAACGAGCTACGGCGCAACAGAGCAAGGCCATTCATGCATCTTCCAAGGAGAATGCTATCCAGATAACGAAATCCCACGACGCCATCGATGGCGGTGATTGCAGTGGCCATTGCAGCAGCGCACGCGCTACAGCGCTACTCTCATACCATCCTTCGCTCCGATCTGTGGCATTTGTTGCCCTGCCGAATTTCTTCACACGGACAAGTCAGATGGGTTTCCACCGTGCGTCGCCCTGGAGCCGCACACATGACCGGCATGTGCGTCCATGGTTACTTGATGAGGGCGCTTCTATCCCCGCATCACATGACTGAAAGAACCTAAAGTGTATTGACTAATTATTCGACGGTGCCGACGGGTGAATGAGTTCCCGGACGCGCATGTGCTCTTCTCGCACGAGCTTTTCAATCTCGGCAACGTCAGCCTCTTCGTTGAGGCAGTAAATTTGCTCAAACGAGTGCTCGTTCTGTTCAAGGATAACCTTCCACACGTCGCCGCCACAGATCGTCAAATGCGACTCGACTACCAACTTGTCGCCGTTGGGAAGGTGAACACCGACAACGACAGAGCCCGGGTCGAGTTGGAGCCCGTTCACGTCTTCAGACGTCACATTGTACAGCACGCATTGCTTGGCAGTGATGCTGTGGGCCGTCACGTTGATCAAGATCGAGTCTTCGATCGTGACCGAGGCCGCCGACACACCCGACAGCACGCTGCGCCGAATCGTGCCTTTGGTGATCTTGCTGCCGAGGACCGCAACTTGGTCAAACACCATGCCGGGGCCGATTTCGCTCCACATCAACGGGTTCGAAATGCCCAGGAACGATCGCAGGGCGGCGGCTTCGGTCGAGTCTTCGGTCACCAACACGTTGTTCTTCAAGTAGTACTTGAGCTGGCCGTAGTCCCACCAGTACGCCGCGGACCCGACGTCGACACACCCAAACAAGCCGAGCTTTTCCCGACGGGTGGTGTAAAATCGATGAAGAAGCAGCTGCATGCGTTCGTAATGGGCAGACGCAAAGGCTTGTTGCACACCCTTTTGCACCATCAGCTCCACGTACGACTGCTTGGGCAGCGTGAACGGCATCCAGAAATGTGGATCGGTGTCCAATTTGCCCGTCTTCTGTTCCAATTCCGAGTCAAATTCGTCCAGCAGCGCAATGAGGATGTCGTGATCGACCGAGAACGAACCCAACGACGTGCCGACCGACTTGAGGTGGCCAAAGTCGCTGAGCAGTCGAAGGGCCGTCGCGTGGCTAACCTTGTCGACTTGAGCGGCCTGATCGTCTTCGTTGACAGCAATGAGGCCATACTTGTCCAGACCCTTCGCTTTCCACTCAGCTTCGGTAGGCATTGGCGCCAACGTCGCCAAAATATCAATGTGATGAGTGGGGGTGTAATGCACGGGGGCGGAAGGAATAAAAACTTGGTCGCCCCAGTAGACAGACAAGCGGCCGCGGCGGCTGGCAGCATACACACCAGTTTGCTTGATCACAGCTTCCAAGATCGTCATTGGGACGACTTCGTCGTCAATGGTGATCATGGCAGGCAGCTTCACACCGGGTTTGTTGTTGTTTTCACTACCCGGCAATGGTGCTAGCCGTGTGCCTTTGCCGGCGGTGTGGTACAACGCAACGGACACCGAGCCAGCTTTAAGTTGAGCAGTCAGGTCGAAGGACGGGCCGTACACTGCTTTGCCTTCGGCAACAGCTTTTTGGTACGCATAGAGCGTACCAAGTCCGTTGCCTGCGCCGCCAACCCAGTCTTCGTGCACTGCAATGACCTTCATGTTTTCGGGGGAGATCTCGCCGCGGGTCGCCATAAGGCGCTTTTGCCAGTACTGGGCTTGCATCGGCGTCGAACAGCACACAATCACGACATCGTACCCTTGTAGGAGGTTCATGCATTCAATGTTGGCATTGATCACGGCCGTAGTCGCGGACGCTGCGGTCGAAGGGGACGCTGGCATGTGGAGACGAGGGATTGAGGGAAGAAAAACGACTGTGGCGACCCCAGATAAAATTTGTTGTCTCGACGTCCTCTGTAAGTGCGAATGTCAACAACACGACGTTTAATACGTTTAAGCCTTAACGGCCCGACAATATGCGTTTTTCACAATCCCCAGATATTATATTAATTCATGATTTTCCCCTCTATTCAGCATGAATGAATAGTTGGTTGAATTCTTGTTAACGTTTCTATTTTGACAAAGTGTTAAAACAAAACACGAACTCAAGAGAGGCGAATCTCGTAGTATGGACATTTACTCATTTTGATTGGATGAAATCTTCCTGACGAGGAAAATCACCCAATCAAATGCGTACATTGTGTAAAGTGCGAATTACTACTGCTTTGGCCACTTGCTGCAGTGAATATGCCAGCTCTACTTTCCAATATATTGCAACGGAATATCCATGCTATGGTAACGATTAATAATATTCTTTTGTATGATGTTGCATATTAGTTTTGATTAGAGTACCTGAGGTTGCTGTGTAATGGGTTCAGGATCGGAAGGGCTTCCATGGATTGGTGTCGACGGGGGTGAGACACAGCGCACCTCTGCCACGAATCTGGCATACACAATCGCAGCACTCTCAAGGCAGAGGAACATCAAGGGTGGTGCGAATGGGGGGGGGCTTCCTACCAAAATAGCAAGGCATATTCCAGTCCAGGCGTGCTCGATGCAGCTCACAATGGGATTGACTTGACATGTGGTCATCCTGCGTGAGGCTCCAATCCACAGACAACGATCTCATGCCACAGACTTCAAGCGCCAATGTCGCATAGGTGAGAACTGACCCCGCATTGAATATTTGACTGCATTCACCTTTCCATGTTTGCTCGAGGAAAGGTTCGTGGCAGTCTCCATGCAGAGAGCAACAGGGTTGGACAATGATATACCCTTTTAAAGATAATTATTTCTTACGAAGGGAAAATGTCTACGTGGCCCAATTGGATAGGGCATCCGCCTACGAAGCGGGAGATTGCGGGTTCGAGTCCCGTCGTGGACTTATTTCCGCTCACATAAAGCGCCAACCGCTCAACTTTGCCTCTGTTTTCTAGTACAAATTATGAAGTACTCGTTTTTCATGGTTGCGGCGTGGATTTAGAGATGATGGTTGTTCGTAATCTAGAGTTTCTCCACCTTGTTGAAGTGCCCCCCGCCAGGATTGCGCTTGGCAAGCTCAGCGATATCGGCGGCCTTGTGGTCGAACGTACACTCGTGCTGGTCAGCGTACCGATGTATCCCGCAATACACGAAGCCGCACCGACACTCGATTCCTGTAAGGCCGATCTTTTTTTTGCATTCCCAGCACCTGGACTTGTTTGTCTGCACTGGTTTCTCGGGAGGAGCTTCGTCGTTCGTCGATGATGTTCCTGCCTCCGCAGTCGTTGTCTCCACCATCGTGTCGCCCGTGGTCGTTCCTGTTGCTATGACGACGGTATCTGGCTCGATCACTTGATCAGTCGCAGGCGGGGACGGCGCGCTCGACGGAGCTTTGGTACCGCTCTTCTTCCAGCACACAGAGCACATGCCATGGCATGCCGCGTTGCCAAAGAATCCGCACCCACCGGTACACCGAGGGGCGTCGCAACTATCGCTTTGCTGCTGCATGTCGATGTTGTGGCAAGCTGAAATGGAGATACTGCGCAAGTTCGAACGGTGCTGGTGGTTGCATTCTATTTATAACTCCAACGGTAGGTCGATGCACCATTGAGTTGCAGGAGGAAGTTGACGGCATGCCCAAGTATGCGTCGTATCTAGATTCAAACGATGATGCGCAGGCTTTGCAAGAAGTACATGTTCGCTTTAGCTCGACTAATTCATCCTTCGTCCCACACGACGGCCCACACGAGGTACAAACCGTGCCACTGAAGGAAGTGTTGGCACGTAGAATCGTTGCACACAACAGACTTGGATGCGTCGCAGCAAGTAGTTCATCGACTTCTCGCCCCTATCCACGTTTGTGTGGACGTTTGTGCTTTAGCTAACTTTGGCGAGCCGTTGAAGTGTCGCGCCGCGACATCTGTCGATTTTTCCATTCAAACGAGTAAGTGGCTGTCTTGGCCGAGCGCTTTTTGATGTTGACTGAACATATCGACCTTGCCATGTCGATTTCGCACATGATGACCGGCCATCAGTGTGATCTGTACGGCCATGTCCGTCCAATGCGTCGCCACAGACGCCAACGTAGCCTTGTAAGCATATTCGTGACTGCTTGGCATCTCGATGTCGATAGTTACGACGATTCTCCTCTCAAGCAAGTGCTGGTCGTTGAATGTGCTGGCCTGTGCCATGGCATCGACGGCGACGACGTTGCGTCACCCGCCCATGCGTGCACAATCTACCGTCCCGAACGACTCCTTGTCTTCGACTTGATTTGTCCTCGAAAGCGCGGCAAGGCCGCTGCATGAGCTTTACTTTTGCACTGGTCCGGCCGTCCTTCGAGATTTTGTCGTGGACATTACCGTCTGGAGCGATTTCGACCGGATGACCCAACAATGTTGTGGTGATCTCTGGTTTGGCTGTACTGTTGAGGAAGGCCGGCCACCTTGCCACACCACAGACGACCGAGATGTAAGTCTACGGTCGACGCAGCCAGCACGTCCAACCAAATTGTCGTGGCTACGGGTGACGACGCACCGCTTCTGCCTCAACTGCAAGAAAACGCCTTAGCCAGAGTCTGTGGCTGTGGTGTGAACACATTGTTCCGTCAAGTCGAGGCAACAAGCGACGGCACGTCGCTCGACGCTGCATGGCGCAGAGCTCCTGAGCTGTAGACGTAGCTCACGCGTTCGAGTCGTTGGACGCGGCGAAGTGGGTGCTTCGTATCTTTAGGTAGAGAGTTGTCTGCGCAAAGCCACACACACGTACCAACCTCATCAACACCCTTCCTTCCTCTCATTCCGGCTACATAGCTGCGTTTGACGCATGGCTCTGCTGACGCCGCGGCAGGCATCACGCAACCTAACAAGCTCTTGTCCGAGGGCCCTGCTTGGTTTTTCGACTGAGAAATTCACGTTTTCAACAACATTTTTCGAGAAAATGTGATAATCCAACGAAAAACTGTGAAAATACGTGGGAGGACGTATGATTGGTCCATTTGAATTTCACATTGTAAGCGAAGGCACAAAGCATCCACCAACATGCGACCGGCAATGCAGAAGGCGCTGCACGCGATGACCAACGACGGGAATTGCAAGACCTTCCTACGTTCCTTTGCTTCTGAATGCCTCTCTGACAAGGAAGAAGACCATAGCTTGGAGTGGAAAGAAGGGCTGGAGACCATGTCGACAACACAGTGGCTTGACCTATGCGAGTACATCCGGCAACCACAGGAGGATCTTCACGCAGCTGCGTGCGTGACATGCTTGAGCTGGAGCCTCCGTGATTCTCTACCGTCGTCTGTCGTGTCTTCACTCAGTGACGTGATTGTGCACCTCCACAGCCTCCTACTCCAATCGCCGTACGTGTCTGATCTTCTGCAACCTCATCGACAACATGGTTAGATGTGACGCCCAAGACGCTATTGCACAGTGCTGTGAGGCTCTATGGATCAGCCACGCTTCTGGTGCGGAAGCTGTTATCCCACAGCTCATTCCATATCTCGTCGTGCAAGCACTCGATGGAGAATCGGCGACGGCCATTAAGCGGCTGCGAGACGTACTGGACGCGCTGTCCCTTTTGGACTTTGAAGACACAAGCAGTCGGTACGAACACTTCTTCCATCTACGCATACTCGCTTGTCATGACAAGTCTGCCAGATTGCTCAAGGATTTGCTCCTGCGATGCTTCGTGTCGCCCGCGTTCCTCAAAACGAACGATGGCGTTGCGATCCTCAGCGACCTTTTTCACTTGGACGCATCGTTCATGGACGATATCCACGAAATTATTCGGAATCAAGTTCATTGTCAAAAGGTTTCCGTTGTCAAGCGCTACGGGCTTGTCTACTTCAAGGTATCGGCTTCTCCACCACTCGCAGTTGATCACAATGCGACGTGCACAGGCTTGGCACACGGCACATCTGAGCGAGTTGCCGTCCCTGTTGAAGCTAGAAGAAGACTGCATCCAGCCGTACTTGTACCATGCCATTTACATCCAAACGCCGGCGCTGTGCACGAAATTGCATGCCGTGCTTCACGTAAATCGTCGAGTCCACAAGTCATCTTGATGCACCCTGTATTTCTTGTGTAGGCATTTTTCGATGCCAAACAAGTATGCGACCCGATGCTGCACCGACTGGTGGAACCAATATTGTGGCGCGGGCTCCGTGCGACAAACGACCAAGTCCGAAAGCAAGCCGCTCTCGTGTTGTTTCAAGGGTTTCCATATCAAAATCCATCCGCGACAAAGGAAGAAGCGGATGCACTCATGCAAAAACAAGTGGATGTTATGCTTCAACTAGTCCAGGACACTTCACCCGCGACGCGGGTAGTTGCCGTCCACGGCCTTGCCAAGGTAGTCCTCATGCCGCTTAAATCCAGGGTCTGATCGATATTGCAGGTTTTGAGCCTCTACTGGGAGGTCATTCCGCACGACTCGATCCAGCAATTCTTGTTTTGGCTGTTTGAACTTGTCCAAGATGCCAGTTCGACCCCTGTCCGCGTTGCTGTGTTGCAAGGTCTGCCTCTAGTTTTGGACAATCATCTGAGCCATTCCGTGCTCAAGTCGCTCCTCCCCAAGGCACGTCTTTCTGCAACCTGTTCTTGTGTGCAGTTTGTGCGCTGACTTGGACTCGACGGTGCGCAGCTCTCGCCGTATCTCAACGACAAGCAAGAAACTGTTCGCGCGGCGTTTTGCCGCCTTCTTGTCCGTGTCAAGAGCATTCGAAACATGCACTTTTATGATATTGCGTCGGTCGACAAGTGCCTGTTGCGACTCGTCGTGGATGCGACCCGCCCCGCCGTCGCCAAACCGCTGACGAATCTGTTTATGCGGTCGTATTTCCCTCAAGTATTCCTGCGCTGTATTATTGTGCGTGGTTGTGTGAATGAATCGTCGATTTCGTAGGGCGTATCAGACGAAGCGCAAATCGCGCGCACGGTGAGCATGATCGAGGATTATCCCGTCGCGAGTCGCGTGTTTTACCGCCACGTCGTGCACTTTTCATCCATTGGGGTCGTCTGCAAATTGGCCGCACTGCTGCTCCAATTTTTGGCGTCCACGTTGGCCGACATCAACGAAGCCATGGCCCATGGCATTGTGTGGGTCGTGGTTGAACTGCTACAAAGTGTGGCCAAACCACTCTGGCATAGCAAGCGATACGCAGACTGCCGACGGTTCTTGCAAGATCAAGTTCTCCCTGATGTGCTCCACTCCATCTTGGACACGTATTCAACGCATGGCTCGGGTACGATTGGATTCTGTTGACCGTCTCATGTATCGATCCAAATTGTTTTGATGGACGGTCGTTCATTGGCATCATAGTGATTGCCGGCATGTGGCACATCATTGCGCTCTTGCCATATCAAAAAGACGCGTTTGTCCTGCGCGCGCTGGACGTAATGGCCAAATTCGAGTGCTCGTCAAACAAGTTGCTACTAGCGGGCATCCTCCAGTGCATGGTCCAATGGGGCGAGCAACTCACATTGATTGAGTCTCTCATGGATCAGTTGCACCTGAGGCGGTACGTTCGTTTATTCAACGAGTGCCTGAATTTTCAAGTTGTGCATGTGTAGGAGTGCACGAGCCAATGTGGCGCTGCTGCTCGTGTGTGTGGAGCAACTGCTCATGCTATGCGACCTCAGTGCAGTGGCAGCTGCGCTTGGAGAAAGGATCGCTCAGAATTGGCCCCAATTCCAAGCACAAATGGAACCGACCAGTGCCATTCTGTTTGGAAACGTCATCTGGTCGTTGCATCAAGTCGTCGTCTCCACCACAGATAGCACTGCACCTCCACCCATCGTGCTCTGCGACGTCTACGTGCGTTTTTTTTGCGTTCTTGAGGCGCACTGATATGATGTGTGCAGGCTTGGATGTCGTCGCAAAACAAGCGAAAAGCCGACGACGACGTCGTTGACACCACTGGCAGCGACCAGCGACTCGCCTTGGTGCCCATTCTGTGCGAAGCGATGTTTTTCGCCCTTCAGTCGGCCACCGCCGTCGAGTTTATGCAGCGCGTGATCGAGTTTGCCGTTGACGAACCCGCGCTCAACGTCCAGCTCTTGTCTATGGTACGTCGATCGAGCCATGTCAGTGTTTGCCAGGTCGCTGGGAATGCGCTTTTTTTCCTAGCTCGTGGCCACTGAGGTGGACCTGGACGACGAGATCTTGTGCGCGCTCCTGACTGCGTTGCTCGAAGCGAATGCATCCTGTTGCGTATGGCTGACGCAATTGCCACACTCCGTCGGACTGTGCCGCTGTCTATGGCTGCTCCTCAAACAAGACGCGCGAGTTGCTCATGCAATTAACGCGACCAAGTGGCCCGACAATGCACTGCAAGTACGTCATCCACGCATTCGACTCTTTCCTCAGCTGCTCAAATTGAATGGCTGGTAGAGTGTGCTGAACGTGGGGCTGGCGTCCACGGAAGAGTTGCCTCCACACGTTGTCGAGATTCTGACCTCGTGTCGTGCACTGGGTTGGGCCGGCAAAATCGCATCGCCTCAAGTCCTCGCTCAGCTGCGCGAAGCTCGAGGGATCACGACTCCATAACGAAATGATCCACAGCAAGTCCAACGCCGAGAACGGAGCAAGTACTTCATCCAGCCCGCCATCGCAACCTCCTCGACAACCGAGGCGTTTGTCCATCGGTTTGCAAGGTCGGCCCACCACCTGCACACACATGCGCGCCGTGGTCGAACCTACGTCCAACCTGTCGACGAACGTCATGCAAGGGAACAGTGCAAAGTGTCATGTATATCAGGTTGGGCTAAATAGGGGCGTCTAGTTGTTCAGTTTGGATTTTGCACTCCACGAGCACGAGCTGAGCCCGATCGCAAACGCTTGGATGGGGGCGAGGGGGTATCGAAAGTCGAGGCTGAACTTGGACTTGGAAAACTTGCCAAACTGAAACACTGCCTTGTCGTCGTCGTCGTCCATGACCAGCATAAAGTTCTTGGCCGACGCTTCGCGGATCCGACCGCCGTGGAACTTCATGATTAAGCTGTTGACTTCGCTGCACCACGACGGAAGCTTGCTCACGAGCTTGACACGGTCGCTCACGGGCGTCTCAAATGTAAACTTGGTCTTCTTCCCGTGCGGCGACGGCGACGTGACAAGCTCTGTCTTGACCGACGTCCGCGGCGTGCCCCCCGACGGCGTGTCGCTCCGGCACATGCGCGGACACCAAATCACACGCGACCGACTGTCCTCCATGACGGCAGGAATGACGACACTCAGGCACCGCATTTCACTCGAAATACCGCTGACCACCTTGGTGAAGTGCGAAATGTCCGCGAGCAACTGGCGGTCCGCCCCCTCGCCTGCGTCCTCTGTAAAGCCAAAGTTGCTCGCGTTCTCGTGATCGTTGCTGCACGTGTATTTGCTAAAGCCTTGGTCGCACCCCTCGCACCCGCAGTTGTACAGCTTGAAGCTGTTGTCGGTCGTGCGCCTAGATTGTCCACCTTGAGCGCCACAAAAACAGCGACACCAGTCGAACGTACTTGAGTACGGCACAGTAATGCGACGTGGGCACAGCACCGCTCGAGCTCGTATCGCCGGACGACTCGCCAAAATGCTCGTACTGGGAAATGTAAAATATCCCATTGTGCTGCTTGGCGCTGAGGAGGAACTGGTCGTTGTTCCAGAACATTCTAGACAAGACAACCGCATGGGCCCAACGAATCGAGGGACGTGGTCACATACTTGTACTGCGTCTTGTTGATGCGGTGGACTGTGCTGTACGTCCATGCTTTCGCACTCGTGGGGCTCAAGCTCTCTTCTGTGATGTACTCTCGGGCGTTGCCGCTCTCGAGGAGGTCCATGTCTTGAAACTTCTCGCGCTTGATGACAGACCCCCATGTCGGGTGCGCGTGGGGCTCGTTGTCGCCGTCCTTGGAGAACTTGTTCGCAAACATCGTTGCGGCCTTGTCGAAGAAGGTCACGTCCGCCGCGGACGCTGCGTCCTTGCCGTCCCCGCCGCTCCCGCCATTGTTAAAGTCCGTCGAGATCGACAGCGAATTCCGCGAAGCAAAGTCGGCCATGTAGGAGGAGGGTTCGGGAGCGAAATGGCAGGCGGCAACCAAGTGTGGGTCAGTGCAGCTGCGAGACCGTCGACAAATGCTGACCCCCCACGGCGTCGCGTCGCCATTATTTTTAGTTGAAACATGGGAGGTCGATCTATTCGTTGGCGATTTCATTGGGGGATCTATTTTTAGCCCACCAATCAAACCGTGATGTTCGACGTTCCATGACAACCCGACAACACACCACCACATCGTGTCGACTTTGGCTGGCCATCGACGCACGGGCCGCTCATCGACCTGTGCGACAAGGACTGCGCCGAAGGGCGCCGCTTGGATAGAGTACGACGGTCTTTCTCGGCGTTGGGGTGCGTTGTGATGACGCCCCAAGGACCGGAACAACTGCGCCGGTTTCAACGCACTGGCCGGTTTCACATCACGATATATTCCCGTTGCGTGCGGCGAGCAAGACCGCGGCGCCGATCCGTTCGAGTCTGGAATGACCCGCGGCTTCGACCGAGAACGCTCCAAACTACCGCGACAATGCATTCGGGTGCAGCGGACACTGCAGCAGCATCATTACGTTTTCACTACCATTCCACGGCAACGCGGATGATGGGGAAAGCCACGCGAGCCAGCGTCGTTTTTGTGGCGACGACATCGACACAGGGCTTTGCACGAGCCGTGCATTTCAGAGCTTCCCAAAGCTATGTGCCCGATATATTCCATCGCGACTGCTTTGCTGTGCTGGTCGAAAAACGCGATGACCTGCACACAAGACATGCAGCCTTCGTCGCAATGAACGACTTGCACAAGTTGCGCACAAGGTTCATCGCCCAACATCGAGGTGCCTCTCCAACTGTCTCCACCACAATCGAGCGAACTGGAACACCCTGCAGGACCAACTGTCGCTGTTGTTTCAACGCTATCCGCTACGAATGCCCCCCGTCGTTTGGCAAGCCGTGCCAGGATGCATGGAAGCAGGTTTATTGAAGGTCCATCTTGAGCACACCAGGTCCACCCAACCTTGCCGACGAGCTCGCCGCCCCGACGTCCGCGGTCATCAACCTGGCCCTCCTACGCCACATCTTGGTTGTTGGCCTCCTCGCCCACAACAGCTATCATTTGGTGCTGGCGCCTCGCTGGTCGCGCATCTTTGGATGCCTGTGGCCTGAACATGGATGTTTCGTCCATGCCATTGCCGTGGTGCTCAACGAATGCCGCCTGCTGCATGTCAAGCTAAACTCGCTCCAGCATGTCGACACCATAGCTTTGGATTTATGCACCACAGCATGTTCAAGTGGCAACGCCTCGAGACATTCGACCGTCCCAACAAAGCTCCGAGTGTATCGAATGACGTCGTTCCATGCCCGTGACGTTGCGTGGAAGGCTGCAAACGGATTGTGCCCGTGCGACCGACCGATCGACTCCTCGACGCTGCCCCTACTGAACCTTTGCACCCCTTTGCTCGACTTTTCGATCCGTTGTGGTCCATGCTGCTCTTGCCAGCAACTCGATTATTCAACCAGTGACATGCCACCTCCTCCATCCACGAATGGTGTTGGTCATGCTCATGGCTCTGCATGCATTGCGACCTGCTGCCGTGCTTTCAACTACAGAAAAAGGAATATCGCTTGAACCAAACGTGCCACACAAGTGCACCACGAAAAAAACGCAACTACGGCGCACACAAGTTGAGGTGGGTTGTGTCGGCCAGCCGCGTGGTTGTCGCTCTCCATGAGCATCGCTGCTCAAGACAACGCAGAACGGACGATCGTGGCAGCAATTTGCGCCTTGGTGCTCGTTCGTGGAGGCACGCGAGGGTACATGACGGGCGCGTCAAAGTTGCACCAGACAAAGTCGCCGTTGTCGCACTCGGACCAGCCGCAGCCCATCGACGTGACTTGAGGACTCATCATGTTGGAAAAGTGGCCACAATCGGCCCACGACCCCGTCGTGCATTGGTTGGTCGTGAAATCCCACAACGACTCTTCGCTGTCGTACCACAGCCATGCCGCCCCCGCCATCGCCAAGCACCTGTCCGCGCCGCATCGGTCGTAGGTGGCCAAGTTTTGCCAGCCGTTGCTAGGACCTCCATGCTCAAATCCGGGGCACGTGTCCGCCCATATTTGCACTTGGGCCGCAATGTCGTCGTTCCATGCAACGGGACCAAGCGCATGCCCTGCCCGAATGGCGTTGGTTTGAAAAAGCAGTTGGTCTTTCAACCTGCTACTGACACTGGGGGCGGTCGCACGAGCTTGAACCAAGAACGATCGTGACTTTAGTTTTGAAGCAGGTTTTGGAGTCGAGCATGGCGTTGGTGGACTTGGGGCTCGAGTTGGGGCGGGAGTTGGAGCAGAGGTTGGAGCTGGGGTTGGAGCTGGGGTTGGAACTGGGGTTGGAGCTGGGGTTGGAGCTGGGGTTGGAGCAGGTGTTGGAGCAGGAGTTGGAGCTGGGGTTGGAGCAGGTGTGGGGGCAGGAGTTGGAGCAGGG